TTCATCGGAATCAAGCGACTTTTTAGCCTTAAAACGTATCATTTAACCTCCTCTTCATAATTGTCATCAGCTTTTGGCCTGAAGCCTGAACACGGCTGCGACAAACTGAACCAGGCATCCAAGCTTGGAACGCGGTGTTCTCAGATGTTACTCCCGTAACCTTCTCTTGTGGAAGACCTCAATTTCATGTTTGAACTTTAGGACTGGTGCTAGTAATAACTTTGGAGCATTGCGCTTGCACCACTATCCCGTTGTCTTCGGTGGGCGCCAGCGCCTCGTGGGCGCGGCCTTTCTGATTCGTCTGATGTATTGAAGCGCATTTAGAAGGAACGCCGTGGGCTTATAGATACTCTGATATTATGCCATCTTATGAAAACGTAGCGGTGCTGGGCTATTATCAGGTAGTATTACGCAAGAATCTCGAGCTGCCGGCCAACTCGTGAGAGTACGACCCTCTCCAAGCTCACCTGAGTAACGGACCCCGCTTGTTAGCCTCGCAACAATCGTGGGTGCGTTGCACCCCTAGTTGGATGGGGAATTATACGTGGGTATTGGTGTACGATGGAACTTGAGAACGACCGATTAATAAAGCTATAAAGGACGGGCTAGAAGCGAGTTTTGTCGTTACATATTGGTATGTAGGGGGTCACCTATACTTACAAAGAGTTATGTGGGGTGGGTCTTCCGTACATGGTGTGCCTGTGTCCTGATATTGGACTGAAAGGCCCATACAACAAACGTATCATCAGGCCGCATGACAGATCATCCTGTTAGGAATCCGGCCGAATGCGTCGACTGCCGCTGCTTAGCTCCGCCATTCTGACACCAGGAGTCAATCCATATCTTTCAGAGTCGTTAGGTAAGTGGGCCCGGGCTCGAAACTCTCGTATGCTAGAGGAATCTGGAGGCCCGTGACAACATGGAGCTAATAAAGGCTGATATAGGCTCAACGCCAGAACGCCAAAAGTTCGTCGCTTCTTACCCGAGCTTGGCTTACTAGCGTCAGCGATCCATAGCCTTCTAGTGTGTTGTTATAGGTGATTGGACTGGAATATTTTTGGTAGGTGATATGAATTCACTAATTGATAAAGCTGCCTGATAAGGTATTAGTGATAAGGTTGCAGAACCGTCTAACTTCGTCGATTCCGTTACGCTAGCCTCCGCTGCACACTTAGGGCGCGTCTCCAACCTACAAGTTGCTATTTAAGTTGGCTCACGTCGCTCACATGTTATCACTGTATGACCAGACTTACTTCATAGTTAGTTACCGATGTGCAATAAACTCCATCAAGGTTTCAGTAGTTGACAAGTTTCATTTGTCCAGTGCTGAATCATTAAAAAGGCGGAATTTTCATGCCTGTGGATCAACTCGCTAAATAGTCTCTTTCGAGTTTTCTGATATTATATCGGTAATGTGACATGTAAGGCCTTGCTTAATTATATCAAGCGGCTTAACTGTGTGTGTCGGTTTGGGTTATTCTGCTATCTGTGTGTGTCGGCGCGTCGCCCGTGCACGCGGGCCCATTTGTTATAGTATGTACTGTGGGCTGTTCGTCCGTCGCAAAAGTGAAGGTGGAGTAGAGAAAGGAAGCGTCATGCGGAGTTAAACAACGCTAACATATCTGGGTCTAGCTTACAGGCTATTTGGCAGATATATTGTCAATGTTTTGAGCAGGAATAGCTTTGATCTTAACGACCTTAGGGCTATATAAACACGCTGCTTAGTCCACACTTCTCCCGTTCATGCCACATGGTGCTTGCTAGTGTGCAAAGCTCGGAGGGCAGTGGAACAGAGGTTCAAGGGGGGATGAGGAAGGCAAACGCGAAACAAATTACCGTAGTATTCATGTATTGGTGCCTTTTACTGTATGGAAAACACATTCGTGTTTGCTTGATACGTCTGCTACATCTCCAGGGAGTGTATGTGTTTCACGAGGACGGGAAGGGGACCTATGTATGCGGGGAGGATAGAAGAGCTGCCGCAATCTAATAGGAAGGTCCTCGGTCCGCCGTTGACGGGGACTAGATCTGCGTAAATTGATAAACTAGCGCATGCTCACTATGTGACATGGCGGCATTATTCATTCTCACTTTGAGTACTGACAGCAATGCCCTTATTTCTACCGCCTACCAGTTAATTTTGATATTCAATGATATTAACCATGATTATAGTCCCGTTCGAACCGCCGGATCCTTCCTTTCGCTGTCCCGCAAGCTTTCTAGTCCTGCACGCTATTTGGGTCCTTCCTTACTGTGACACCAACACTCCTTGGCAAGGTACGCGTTATTGCAAGGACAATAGGTGTTTATACAGTAGAAACGCGACACAATCATTGATTTAGGACTGGTGAGATTTATTCGTACCTTTTCCTCATCCTCCCTTCCCTCTCTCCACTATGCCTGCCAGCTCGCCCACCTCAGCACCATTGGACCATGAACGGTAAGTCATGTTGTACTAACAGGGGTGTTTATAACCGCCTAAGACGTGGATATTCACAACTTATTCCTGCTACAATAACATTGAGAATTCTTTAATCCTGGTGAGTCTGGACCCGTTATGTTTTAGCGGTTGTGGTTTATCCCTATGAGCTTCGTTTCACTGTGCATCTTCCATTTTGCGGTACGGGACACACATCACATCACGACACAGACACGCACACACACATCACTACCGATACAGCATACACATAACGCGACACACACAAGTATGCGCGCCTTGGTAGATTAATAGAAGGATCTATGTCTGCTGGGGCATGCGAAAGATAGAACCTATGTGGATAACCTGCTTCCAACATGAATCGCTGCATATCATCAAAGTATGCTGGCAGCAGCTTATCCACGCTACTTCTATCAAGTGCACGTCATTTCCGGTGACACACCTGCCCCAACTTTCGGATATCGACTGTACAATTAGCGAATTATATATAGTAGGGTAAGCAGTGAATGATAAGAGGAACGTCATTGCGGTTAGCCAACGAATTATTAGTTCATCTCATTCAAACATGTCTACAGTTTTATTCGAATAAAATGAACAACAAAAGGCACATAGGGCAGATATTTCAGCGTCCACTTAGATAGGCCCCGTGTTGTTGATGACCAGTAACCAGTTAAGGAAGCATTTGAACACCAAGCGGATTTTTGCTCGAACAAGTCCAGACAAAACGTTCCGAACGTCTGTTTCTGCGATCGACTGAGTGTCGTAACGCTTGCCACTGATCTGTGCTTTCAGCTGACCAAAACAGTTGAAATTGGACGGCCGTAGGTCGGGCGAACAAGACGGCCGAATCCAAGTTCACTATCCTTTTCGTCAAAATACTGCTCAGTACTCTAAACTACATGAGGTCTGGCATTGTCATGAGCGATGACTGCTTAAGACGTTGACGACCGTGTGGTATGATGCCATACCACACGGTCGTCAACGTCTTAAGTCTTTCGGCCACGTGGGACCGTGTGACATGATGTCATGTCACAGTCTTTTTTACGCTGGTTTTCAAACATTTTAGGTAACTTATTCACGTGATGTATGCGCCATACTTAGGCATTGTTACAAAAGGCGTGGTCCCTGGAAGGAAGCTTCGGTTGATAGGCTATCGAGTTTTTCTAAAAAAATTTTAATAATGATGAAATCACAGGAATCGCTAAAATGGCCAAAATCGCATAATCGCAGACCTACCACACAAGAAAGATAACAAAGGCACACTTCCTGAGGAAAAGGAGTTTTCGTAGGGCTGTGTAACATGACGTCATGTCACACTCGCGTGGTCAAAATAATGCGCGCGGTCCCACACGCCAGACAGCGAAAAATAGCGCGGTCGTCAACGTGTTAATTGTAGTTGTGTGCTGCCATGCGTTGTCAGTATTATCATCGAGAAACTGACGACACATCTCAACAGTGATTCTTTGGGAAAAGGGGAAGTTGAAAGGAGTGCTCTTCAGTGCTAAGGATAAGAGAAGATAGGAGGGAAAACGTGCACCTAAACTTCATTTTGTCGGATGATCCTAGCTACGGGGTTTGTGGACGGACAAGCAGACATTCACCCATGCATCTTTGGCTACCAAGAACCATAAACATGTCGAGGGCAGACAGCACTACGTGATCGACGACGGCCTTCTAGTAAAACTGATAACTGCTGCTCATAGTGAATGCTAATAGATGATATACGATAATTGCAATAAGCGTCAACAAATAGATTACAACTGCAACCGGCTATCACTGCTAGGAATCTTTTACACTTTGCGGAGGCCTCGTATGTTGGGTTGGGAGGTCTGCACTCGACGAGCTTCTGGTCGTCGGAACAGGGCATACCTTCAAATCCTGTGGCGAAGTGCGTCTGCGCTGTAGATTCACATTACAAATGACGGCAGTTTTCAAACAAATTTAATCATTAATTGTTCATAATGATGTTCATAATGATAGTTCATCAGTGACAACCAGTAGTAACTAGTGACAAATAGTATGAAATGGTTAGTCAGTCAATTATTATATTTCGTTGGCACGTGCGAGGTTAAGGCTGACGTCACTGTCACTACAACTACAATTTTCTACGGCCTGCAGTGCAGGCACACTAGAAGCTGGGTACAAAGGGCAGGTTACCTGACAGAAAGCCTGTCGCGTAGCGAGAAGTAGGCGATGCAGAGGAATGAGCGATTTGTTTACTTAACGCTATCTATCCTGCCTTCTCTTAGACAGTCTTTGTAAATCGCCGTAAGGATAGCTGGAACAACTCGCATGGTGATCTGCTCTGTATCCGCATTTATTTGGCCCTTGCCCGCACAATAGGCTTCCTGTTTCGGGTACTGCAAGGGTTCACACACAATGGCATACCGTAATCCAAAAAAACACGTCAGTGATTCTCAAAATGGGAAGATTTACGTGAAAAGTGAAAACAATGCACGTTTTTGCTGGTGGAAGCAAGCATCTGATAAGGCGTGGTGATCATCGTGATAAGGAACACTATAAAAGCTGGAGAATGGGGTGAGGTCATTTTCTCTGCTGAGTGATGATGGTGCTCTTCTATGTTCATTGCTTCGTGTTGCTCCTATGGAGCCTCTACCCGGCCTGCCAAACTGCTGTCGACGACGATACGGTTGCAAGAGCCAAGGAAGGTGCATGGGTTACTCTACGCGACGGTGTCAATGAAGCACCAATCAAAGTGAGTCAGCGACTGCTATTTCAAACAGATTAATCAGTTTCACTGCGGTCTCTTCCAGGTGGCGAAGATGAGCGAAGTTGGTGATCCTTTCGATAGAGATATTTTCGATAGAGCGGAAGAGTTTTGCAAACAAGATGACTCCCATCTGACGTCTGTTCTATCCGAAAACGAGATGAAGTTCATAGGAGGTTCTCAATATCATTCTCTAGGAAACCTAAAGGCGGATATTGCAATGAGAAAGTGCTATTGCAAAGAAGGATAGAGGTGGTTTGTGTAGCAGAGATGAAGAAGAGACCATGTGAAACGGCCCGATACCCAGAAGATGGGACCCCTTTCTCGCCCGTTGATGCGGCTCTCATCGTTGTGCCCTCTTCAACGCAAACGTTCCGCCTCTGCTATCTAATCACTCGCCGCAAATAGAGCGATTGGATAGTGGGTCGGCATTCCGGGCCAATTGAACGAAGAGAACAGAATACCATATCGGGGAGGGCATATCCCTCAAGGGATCCGCCTGCCCCTCCACTACGTAAAATCGCCTTCTTCACTTCTTCGACCTTCATTCTTATCGTTCATACCTCCTTCAATTGAATTTAATCAATATCTTTCAACCACTATGCCACTCTTGCTCACTGAAATTCCGCACTGTACGAGTGAGCTTCAACAATTTTTGTTGCAATAACCCTTTCGAGTAAGAGGGGGTGGAAACCCGCCCGCGCTATCTTATCGGCACGGCCTAGCACCCGGAAAAGGCAAATCATTTGAAGGCATTGGTCACGGTAAGTTGATCGCATGTGGAAGAGGAGTCTTCAGCGGCTTGCAAGTTGAAATGGAGGAACCTACTATCCTACTATACATAAGCGGCTAATTGTGTCTGTTAGTGTGTGTGTTAGTGTGTACGTTCGACCGGAAATTCATAGCTCGAGTCACAGTAATAATAGCGCACTGGTTCTCACATATGTTGTAGGGGGTTGGATGCAGGGTCAACCCTATCGTTGTTACTCTTTGGAAATTTTTTACGACCCCCCTTGTATGTAACACTTGTGTAGAGACAGTGTTTACCATCAATTTTATTGCTACGTAAGTCATCAAAGATGAAACTTCGGCAAAATCCACGACAGATATTCATCGCTGCTTCCAAACACGAAAAAATGAGATGCATTCAAAGATATCCGTGTACTACAAAGGGTTACCAAACTAGGAGATAAAATAAACTGAACCAGTGACCGGAATATTAACAATATTACCTGATAAAAACTTATGAGAAGTCGGAAAATATTGTCGCTCCAATTGAAATATTGAAAACCTTCACGTTCTTGAGTTCAACACAATTGAAAATTGGAAAAAAAAATTGTAAAATTAAAACGCAATTTTTACACTCCTCTTTCTCGGGCTATAACTTCCTTCATATTCGAGCTTCTGCGCCGAAGTGATTTGATTTGGAAAACTCAAATCATTCTCTCTTCAACCATGGGTAGAATGGTATTCTGGTATTCTTCGGAAGTTAATTTAATAAAAATTTAGTGCGTTGTTACATTTTTCTGTGCAAACGCGACTTTTTACCCTTGAAACGATCATAACTTCCTTCAAAGTCATTCATTTGGGAAGTTGAACACGCTATGACAAACAACAGGATTCAATCTTTCTAACGAGCTCCATAAGGTTCCTGAAAAGTCAGCAGTTCAAAAATTAGTCCTTTTGTTACTTTTTGGGGGGTCGCGTTAGATTTTTCTGGAATCGCGACTTTTTTACCTTAAAACGATCATAACTTCCTTCAAATTCATTCATTTGGGAAGCTGAACACGCTTTGACAAACTACAGGATTCAAGCTTGGAAACGCGGGTTTTCTCAGATTTTACTGCCCGTAACTTCTTGGAAGACCAATTTCATGTTTAACTTAGGATGTGCTAGAAAACTTGGAGCATGCGCTTGCACCATATCCCTTGTCTTCGTGGGCGCCACGCCTCGGGCGCCCTTCTGATTCGCTGATGTATTTGAAAGCTCATTTAGAAGGAAGCGTGGCTTATAGATACTCTAGTATTAGCCATCTTATGAAAACGTAGCGTGCTGGCTATTATCCGGTATTACCAAGAATCTCACTGCCGGCCATCGGGAGAGTACGACCCCCCTCCAAGCTCACCTGAGTACGACCCCCGCGTTGTTACTCGCAACAACGTGGGGTTGACCCTAGTTGGATGGGGAATTAAGTGGTATGTGACAGGAACTGATAACGACCGATAATAGCTATAAGAGGGGCTAGGAAGCGAGTTTTGTCGTTCATATTGGTAGTAGGGCACCTATACTTACAAGAGTTATGTGGGGTGGTCTCCGGACATTGGTGGTACATGACTGAAAGCAACAACAACTAATCAGGGCTGACAAGATCCGTTAGAACGCGAAGCCGTCGACTCCGTTGCTTAGCTCGCATTGACACCAGAGCAACCATACTTTCAAGTGTTATAAGGGGCGCGGCGAAAACTTCGTTGCTAGGTGATTGGAGGTGACAACAACTAATAAAGGCTGATAAGGCACGCCAGAACGCAAAAGTCGTCGCTTCCGTTACCCAGCTTGCTTACTAGAGCATCCATACCTTCATGTGTTGTATAGGATGGGACGGGAATATTGTTGGTAGGTGATAGAAAGTGGTCACAATTGATAAAGGCTGATAAGGCTAAGGATAAGGTCAGAACGCAAACTTCGTCGATTCCGTTACGTAGCCTGCGCTGACACTAGAGCGTCCCAACCTACAAGTTCTATTTGTAGTGGTACGTGCACATTGTATCACTGTATGACCAGCTTACTTCATAGTAGTCGATTGCATAAACTCCATCAAGTTTTCAGTAGTTGACAAGTTTCATTTCCAGTGCAATATTAAAAAAGCCTAAATTCATTAAACCGCTAATAGTCCTCCTTTCGAGTTTCTGAATTAATGGTAATGGTGAATGTGAATCCTTCTATTATATAAAGCGCTAACTTTGTGTGTCGGTTTGTGTATCTGTATGTGTGTGTGTGTGTGCGTGTGTGGTATGTATGTATGTTGTCCGTCCGCAAAATGAAGTGAGTGAGCAGAAGCTCAGTGGGATAAACAAACCGTAAACAAATCGGGTAGCTTAAGGATTTGAGATATCAATGTTTTGGTAGCGGCATAGTTTGGTGATCACACCTCTTAGGGCTATATAAACACCTGCTGCAACTTCCGTTTCATTCCAACATGGTGCTGCCAGTGGCAGCTGAGGCAAGTGCGAAGACGGATGAGGATGAGGAAGGCAAGCGAAAAATTACCGTCAATATATGATTGTGTCCCTTTCTAACTGTCTGAAACACCATTGTGTTCATACCGCGTCACTTCAGGAGGTGTCTGTTGTCACAGAGGAAGGGACCATAGCGGAGGATGAAAGCTTGCGCATTAAATCGGAAGGTCCCGGCGGTTGACGGGGGACTCAATCTGGTAATGATAAACGCTCCTCTCAACTATGTTGCATGGCTATTCATTCTCACTTTGGAGACTGGACAGCAATCCTATCACGCTGCTAAGTTTTTTGAACTTCAAGTTACCAGATTAGTCCGCCGCTCAACCGCCGGACCTTCCTTGTTTTTTTTTTTTTTTTTTTTTTTTTTTTTCCTGCGCTAAGCTTTCTATCCTCTCTTGTCTCTGGTCCTTCCTTCTGTGATCCCACACCCCCTGGAAGTGACGGTATGCAACATAAATGTGTTTCATTACAGTAGTAAAGGACACAATCATGATATGACGGTGATTTTTCGCTTGCCTTCTTCATCCTCCCTTCCTCTTCCACTGCCCTCAGCTGCCACTGCAGCCCACATGTGAATGAACGGGAGTGTGACTAAGCAGGTGTTTATGTAGCCCTAAGAGTGTTATCACACTATGCTGCTTACAAACAATTGATATCTCTAATCCTGTAAGCATACCCGATTTGTAGCGGTTTGTTATCCATGAGCTATCATTCTCAACTACTTCATTTTTGCGGACGGACACACATCGTACATAAAAACACCACAGCACACCACACACATACAGATTACACAACCGACCGGGACAAACAAGTTAGCGCTTTATATATAGATAGGGATATGCCAGTTCAGCTCCGAACGTTATCACGCCTATTCTCGATGGACTTCAGCGAAACTGGGAAAGGTCTAACAAATTCAATAGGGAGGTGGTAATGGAGTACCTCATGCTGATATTCCATGAGTCCTCCATTTTCGCTAAAGCCTGCCGCGTGATGCGCGCGATAGCGGGCGGAGCAAAACTGATTTTTAATACGATAAACCGTTGTGTATGTGTGTTTGTCTGTACAATCGGAAATCCATAACTTCACTCCCTTCTGTCCCAGAGCTTCAAACATATAAGACGCATAGGGGGCTACAAGTGACAGCAATGATGGGGGGCGGGTACTGATTTCGCTCGCGCTGACATTGGAAATTTTGCATAAATGAGAACTATTCGGTGTGGGAAGAGGATCCAAACAGAGAGCGAAAGAAGGTGATAGTACGTGATAAGAAATAATAAACGTGGGCCGGGACGAAAATTCCATCGTCTCCGCTACGCCATTCGCATTGAAAGTAATATTTGTACACATGCATGTATGTAGGGGTGAAGCGGGGACTGAGAAGGTGAGTGAAAGAAATCGGCAGTATGATAAGAAGAGATAAGGAGCGTCAAAGTGTAGATACCACCAGTTACGTTGCAGCTTTCGCGGTGACAGGAGAACTTTGCACTTGCTTGTGTTCTAGAGGATCGTCCTAGAAGGCGGATATCGGGTGGTCAAAAGTGATAAAGACTGAAAACAGGTGATAATAAGGCTAAGAATTTAGGCGACCAGTTTCGTAGAAGTCTTCGAGGTGACAGTGAAACCCTCATTGCTGTACGCTGCATGAGGGGAGGGTCGCACGGGGACACCGATGGTAAGTGGTATCAGTTGGCGAGGAAGGACAAGGAATGATGAACGACGTGTAAATATGTCCATCATTGTTGCAAATATTAATGTAAATGTAAATACATCGAGATGGCGATTTGTTGATGATAGGTGATAGGAAGTGGTGTGCGTGTGTGTGGTGCAGTGTGTGTGGTGTGTGTGTGCGGCGTGTGGTGTGTGGTGTATGTGTATGTGTTTGTGTGTATGCCGCCAAGTAAGAACCATTTACTACAGGATGGTTGAGACCAGGGTCAACTGTCATTGTCGCACATTTCCGGATTTTTGCGATCCCCCCTGCTCTCGAGCGGGTACCCCCTGTTGTTCTTAAGAGTGCTCTTAAGTGCGGAAGCGCTGTAAATGTTTTATTTCACTTCACATTTATTTATTACATTGCTACTGCCCTTGCGTGGACCGTAGCTCGCAGGTTTAGCTCCTATCCAAGCAAAGGCAGTGGAAAGCAGACTCAAGGAAGTGCGGCCCCTGCACGGGTCAGATAGATTGGCTTTGTCGTTTGGGTTAACAATTTGCTTTTCGTTACTCGAATGTTCGGCTGGCTAATCGGCAGATGCTCCGCAATGATCCTCTCAGCAAACTGATAAACTATTAAAACCCAGGCAACACCTGCAGAATAGCATTATTTATATCTAAGTATCGTCGACGACCTGAATCAGCAAGTAGCGAGTACCCTTACTGCTGCCGCAATCAAACGTACTACATTCCCCTTTCAGTTTTATTTCATTTATAAGTAAACTGGAGCTGTTGTCCCACTTTCAACACACTAGTAACACTTGCCCATCACACAGTACGTGCGACTCGTGGAAAAATGAACTTGCAATCAAACTAGTCCAACGAAATCGTGCCCATTCAAATTGAACAGGACTATAGTTACGTGAAATAGTCACTTCATTGCATGGTTAGACATATGTATCTGACCCACTCAGCTTTGGTTCATGGTTCAGATAGACTAGCCAAAAGGAATCCTTACATTCTCCATCCTCAAGCCGGAGCCGAATAGGCGTCAAAGCGTACTGATGTTTGAGGGAAAGTGAAGTGTGGTCCCGCACGAAACAAAAATGGAAAGGAAGAAATGGCAAAAAACAAGTAGTAGCGGTGGAAGACTCACGATAAGTGAAAATTTGGGGCGCGTGCTCAGCGGCGTCAGCCTTGGAGCGACTGGTATCACCCGGACGCTGAGAGAACGGGACGCGGAGAAAGAAATATTTTCGGGGGGAGTAACTCTCTTGGGACATAATTTTTGAGTTGTTGAGGTAGATCTGAACTGTGCCTAAAGTGCGCTTTCAGAAAACTACAAGGATTACCCAACACACCGGAAAGTGCTTCTTTTAAAAGTAAAAAACTCAAAATTGTGAGAAGGCGCACCTCCAACTTTTGAAGACCAGTAATATCTTTTGTATGCGACATTTTGGAAAGCTGTAAAAAGTTTCAGAAACTACAAATACTTTTCTACTAAATCGGTAAGAAAGTTTTATGTTCGGCTACTTTTTAAAAAATTGTCCCGTTCGAACATTTTGCGTGCGAAGGCGAGATTTTGGCTTTTCAGCAGTCGTAACTCCATTTTCATTTTTGTGATTCACGTTTCGCATGGGAAGTGTTGTAGATATACATGTACTCATGTGTGGTCTACCGTAGTCAATTGCAGACCACCCTTCTAAGCGCCAATTTATAGGGTTTGATCTGGCATTAATACAATTTGACCAGGATATTTGACCGGGTCAACTACTGAATAAACCCGATAGTTTCTTAAGATATCCATTGTATTCGTTTCGTCTTCCGGAATAAATCTTCTAAATTCGACTACGCTTCAACTAGCGACCAGGATCAACTACGCCGTGCACCCGACATCACCAAGCAACGCTCCCAACGTTGAATGCTGACACTCTACGCGCTATTCTTAGCGCCCAAGCTGCTGCCCAGGAGAAGATGCTGCAAGCCGTCATGAAGGAAATGCTGCACCTATTCTCCACGATCGCATCCAGTCCGACGACCTCCCACACCACATTAGCCGAGTTCGTCACCAACTCGCTATCAGGGACAACCGTCCGTTAGAACCGTTCGAACGAAGTGGTCGCATGTTGTTCGGAAGGGGGTCGCAATTTCGAGGACTGCCAGCCACAGGCGCGTGCGTGGCGTATCCGTGGGCAAGGCTTGCTTGTGCAAACCGCATTAGATTCGATTTATTATGCACAGAGAGACAGTTTAAGGCAAACTACGGTGTTTTCCTTGAGGAATAAAGAACAGTTGAATGCATCCCTATGAAAGGTTTGACTTCTCGGGGCGGAAATTAAAGTTCTTAGGAGACCTATCTTTCTGAGGACGATTCTTCCAGACAACGATAAAACATATAAGAAAGCAAAAATGGCCACGGAAATGGGGACGCCTCTTCCAGAGGACTGTAAAGCTTATAGGGATGCAGAGTTCTCGTAGTCTTCAAAAATGTCTTCGTCCCTCTCCAACAAGTTCTTTGAAGGAAGTCAATATTGCTGAAAGCTCAAAAACTCGCATATGCTGCTCAAAAACCAATGGGAACAAAATGTTCGAACGTGTGATTTTCTCGAAAAATGAACTTTGAAAAACGGTTTAGGGCTTGTTAGAAAAAGCAAATCCTGTACTTTCACCCCATGAAAAAAGTGCATCACAGAAATGAAAAGTGAGTCATGGTCGCTGAAAGGCCAAAAACTCGCTTTTGCCTGAAAAATGTTCAAACGGTACAATTTTTTGAAAAAGGAGACAATCACTAAACTTTTTATACTGTTTTGTTAGAGAAATGTTTGAAGTTTCTGAAACTTTTTTCAGATCCCCAAAATGTCGCATACGAAAGGTATTTTGGGCCTTCAGAACCTTTCATAGCGATGCATTCAACTGTTCTTTATTCTTTGAGAAAACATTGCAATTCGCCTAGAACTGTCCCTCTGCGCATAACAAATCGAATCTAATGCGGTCTGCTCAGGCAAGTCTTGCCCTCGGATACGCCATGCACGCATCTGTGGCTGGTATTGGGAAGTCTATTTCATCTTGCCATGACTTGCTCAGTTTTTTTTTCACTGCTACGCTCTGATGCGACGATGCGAGCTCTCCCTGAAAGCTTTGCTGAAGACAGAGAGATTTTTTCACCATGTAAACTAATTTACGCGGAGAAACACTTCAGGACGAAACAGCAAGCCTGGAGAGAATAATTGTTTTGAGCTTATGATAAGATGTTTTTATGAGCGTTTCTCCCTCTTCCTTCATCCGCTTACCAACTACCGTTGCGATTAACGTTGCGGGTCCTTGAAATTGCGACCCTCCTCCCTCGGCCCATAACCGAAATGTGACCTCTTCGTTTGAATAGTGCGAACGGACGATTGACCCTGGTTGGGACACTTGTCAAGAAGTACAGAACACATACCAGCTCACGGAGACGAAGCTCCACCTATGATAGGTGGGGCGCGCACCTGAACGTACATCGCTTCGGGCAGATTAGAGAACAGCTCAAAGCTGAGTGTGGTATGAGTTTATTAGTCGATTATGTGAGGCCTGTCCGCGGTGGGAGCAGCGTCCTTTGAATGGACTGTGCTTGATGAAAAAATGCGTAACTCCGTTAGGGGAAAGCCCAAGGAACAGAAAAGCCGATCCAGGAGGGCTATATCTACGGTGCTCTAAGCATATTTGAACCGAGCAAAGGGCCGCCCACAATAGGCTGAGCGTGCTCATGAATGGACGCTATCAATGATGTATCCTCATAACTCGGTTGTAAGAAGTCCCAAACACCGGAAAAAAAGAAAAAGGTCGACGAAGGGGGGAGGGTCAACTGCAGTCAATAAGCGTGAAGAAAGTGGCACATAAAGAGAGGTCAAGTGCATTGTGTTGGTGGGTGGAGCACGAGATGGGCAGAGTTTGCCAATGAACTTACTCTTTAGTTCCAAACAATCCCGGATGCCGGGAAAAATGGGTAAAGCTGACAAATAGGAGGTGAAATGCTATTGGTGGGTGGAAAGAGCACTGAGGTGGGCGGAGTTTGTCACAATGGAGTGAAGAGACATCGATGGCCCTGTTTAATGCCATGCCGTCCGCTGTGGTGCAATACCGCTGGAAGTGAATATTCGAGCAGGCAGTGGACTGCCTTAGTAACTCCTATATTTCTTTATCAGAGCTGGTCATAAGGATCTATGGTGCCTTCTTCGTGGACGTACTGACAGGCTTGCGTATGAAGGCGCCTGTAACGTGGTCCGATGGATCTCCAACTGACTTTGTTCGGAATTTTCAAAAGGATGTGGAAGCCGAAGCGGACGGCCGTCATTGTCTCTACGTGAGTTTTTTTTTGTTTGAAGATTACTTGGTTCGCTTTTATTGTTCTGGCTCTGTGCGCTTCGCGAAACGCTTCTCTGTAACGAAAGGGAAGTTGGCTGAGAGAATCCTGGAGAACCACTTGAACTTGTTGCATTATTTTCACAGTGAATACACACCTTTTCGCCGCACCCTTCCATCGGCCGCTGCTACACTGCTCGTGCATGCCACGAGAAGAGCGCCTCCCCCACCCCGGCAGAAAGTGGTCATAGATAATGAAGTAGTGGTTCACAATCTGTCGAGAGCCTTCCTGAGCTCCGAATTCCCGAATCCCACGTTCCCCTAGCAAATTCTTCTGATGTCATTAGCATTGAGCGCTATTATGAAAAAAAGAAATAAATTGATTTTCAGATGGAAACATTTGAATGAACGTAGCAGAATGTCATCAGTTCCGTTTCAAAGGCATGCCTCAGCTTCAGATGGGGGTGATTCTTGCACACGAATGCGAAACTATTAATGCGGAATGGGCCGGGATCACCCGTCAACTGTAGTTACGCTGATGATCGATTTGCTCGAACGGACATTAGCAACATCGCCATTCGTCCCTGTCGCATGCTAGAGTGGTCCAATGAATCCGCCGCTCAAGGAACAGTTGAGCTCCTTTCGATAAGAGCTTTCGTAACATTGCATGAACATTGTATTCAAGCCGGCGGTCGTTCAGAGGTTCATTTGACGTCCCGATGGATCCACTCGGTGACCGCTCCAGCCCCGGCCATCCCAAAGTCGCATGACGTGCCTGGCGACCTGCTCTTCGACTCCTTGGCAAGAACGACAGCGTCCCTATTCTTCAACCATGGCGAAGTTCGGAACTCCGAATCTCTCCGCACTTGCGCGTATAGGGTGACTTCAAGAACTTCCTCTCGACAGCGCTTTGAATAACGCTGAGCGCATGCTCGTCCTGCCTGCGCAGAGTCCATGTCTCTGAGGCGTAGGTTAGGGCAGTAAGGACTGCGGAATCAAAGAGGTGGGCACGGAACCCTGTGAATTTCATCTTCTTCACTATTTCCGATGTTCTTGTAAGCTCTTCATGTCGCTCTTCTCCTCCTGGTCAGCTCTGGAGCTAGGTCTTCATCATATTGATCTTCCGACCCACGTCACATAGCTGGAGCATTCGCTGATGTTCGTTCCGTTGAGCGTGAATGAGCCATCATGAACCAATCCGTTTCTCATGGATATTGTCTTCTTTAGGTTGGCTGCAAACCGACTTTACTACAGGCGCACTCAAAATCAGCCAGCATTCGCCATGCTTGCTCGATATTCGGCGTCACGAGAACGATATCATCGGCAAGCCGGAGGTGCAGTAGTTGCCGTAGGTCGACCTTTACTCGCATGTCTTCCTGTTCCAGTTGACGCATGAAGTTTTCGAGAACGGCGCTGAAGAGTTCGGGCAAGATGATGTCACCCTGTCGAATCACTCTACGACGATGATGACCTCCCTGCACGGAGGAATTCGGGCAGTAAATTTGCTGTAAAACTCACGAAGATTCCTTCTGTACTGAGTAGGCCCTGCTGCCCAAGGTTTCGATTACCGCTCCGCCTTCACAGAGTCAAAGGCCTTCTTGGAGTCGATAAACGTGATACAAAGCGTCATCTTGTACTCTCGTGAAAGTTCACTGAGTTTCGTTAGCGTGTGGATATGGTCGATGCTGCTGAACCCTCTTCAGAGTTCTGCTTGCTCCCATGACCGTCCTTTATCCAGTATTCTGCCGATCCCGTTGATAGTGACTCCAGTGCAAACTTCACCGGTTAAATATAGCAGGCAGATTGGGTAGTTGTAGTTGCCAATATCGTCCAAGTCCTCCTTATACAGCATTACGGCCTGCTGATCTTCCGCGCAGTAGGTACCTTGCATTAGGACAGGTAGTAGTAAAGAGTTCAGCTGGGACTAGAACTCGCACCTCTCGCTTTCCGGGCAAGTGCGCTTGCCCGGAAAGCGAGAGGAGCGAGTTCTAGATCCGCCTGGGGCGAAAGTTTTGTTCACAACCCAGCATTCTTGTGAAACATTCGCAAGGCGAACTGCGGTCAAAAACAGCAGTTAACAAACAAAAACAAGTCAAAAATAGTCCAGCCAGAGTTTCAACGATAGTTGGCGATGTATTCTCCAGATGGTACGGTTCATCCACGAGACCGCATGCTGTTCATTTCTTTACCGACTTCACGGCATGTCGAAATTTGAACGAGAGAACTGAGGGAACGACGTATCTATCCTGTTGATGAGTAGTCAGGTGGACTGGGCTATCGAAAAGATCCAACGGAAGTCGTGAATGGCTTTCTCCATTGCTCTTTGATGTGCAATGTACTCCATCCGGTTGTCCGAGGCAGGTGATCTTGGTCTTAGAGCTGGCAAAGCTTCGGCTAGTAGTGAAGATGCTCCTCTCACCCTCTGCATCTCCAACTGGTAGTGCTGCTCTTCGCTCCTTGAGATACTCCTTTACCGCCTCTGCATGGCTCCGCAAGCCCGAACGTGAGTTGGCGCTCGCCTGCAGCTCGCGCGACTTCACGCTTGCGTATCAGCTCGAGAGTTTCCACACAGACGTCCCTTGGTGACTTTCAAACTCTCTGCCTTCCTGCCGCTATCGCGCAGGAGTTCAGCGAGCCGATGGTGTTCGTCGTCTGTTTTAGATGACAGAATCCTCCCACAAGCTTGCAAGGAAAGTAAAGCGGTCTCAGTTGACGAATGTCCTACGGTTCCGCTCTCTCAACTCTCTCTCAGAACGCATCGAAATGTGAACTCTTGTGCGGAGAAGACGAGTCCGCATAGAACTTTGGAACAACAGCGACACTGGTTTAAAACCGATTGAACACGATGTTCTCTATCTCATTTCGGAACTGTTCATCAGGTGACTTCCAAGTGCAAAGAAGGTGAGAGGGTTTTTGGAGCTTTGAGTTACCGTGGATGTGCTGCTCGACACCATGAACACTGACAATCGCTCGCCTTCTTCACTCCATTCCATTCCCTTTTGCCGATGTAAAGTTCGTCAGTATTTCATATTGGGCCAATTTATTTATTTATTTAACTACCAGTTTAGCTCCGCCCGCTACCGCGCGCATTGATGGAACTGACAATCAATGAAGCTTCAGGTTTCACCGCTAAATTATAGCTGCTTCGTCAAATGTATTTGTCGTTGCATGGGCTGCATCACCTTGGCTGGTATCTCACTGTTTTGATAGCCGCGGTGAACTGCCAGCTAAAGGATGATGTAAACACCACTATGCGTCGAGTTCGATGGTAGTTTATGCCGTCGAATTGTCTCAAAACGGGATGATGGCCCAGTATCCATTATCATGTTTATTGAAGCATCGCATTTCATCTCATCGAGAATCTAGTAAAAGTGTAGCGGATCGAAAGGTCGTTTGAAGTTTGCATATTACAGCGCAGATGAAATTGTATTTGAAATGAAAGGCATTATCCTACAATCTGCTCTCTATTTTCTCTTCCAAGTGCGTGTTACGCATCGTAAGCATTTATCCTTACTTCAATCCTTCATCAGTCGTTTATCCATTCGGGACCCCACCAAAAGTATGTTCCGTCCCACCCCTATATCATGCCCCCAAATCAGCTCCGTTGACGACTGCTGGAAGTGCACTATGAAATGGTTCGATTGATAATTTGTGTTTCAGATGTTTTATCTCGCTTTTATCACTCGTTATCACTTGGTGACCTCACCAAAATATGTTCCCGTCCACCCCCTATATAGTGTCCCAAGAATCAGGTTCCGCGGACGACTTACTGCGGAACGCACTATGGAAGTTTCGTGAATTTGTGGCGTTATTCAGAGCCCTTTATCTGCTATTGTCAAGTTTCGTTATCATTTGGCTGACCACACCAAGTTTAGTTCACGGTCCAGCCCCCTATATCATATCAAACAATCAGTCCCAACGACTGACTGCGCAGCCGGTGCTTGAATTTCGTGACACACGCCCAAACACACACAACGAAGACATAGCGCTTTATATATAGTAAGGATTGTACAGCGGTGACAAGGGGAAATGGCACAATTTGACGACAGTTACAATAGAAAGGAGCAGAACAGATGAAAGTTATATATTGTATAATTAAGTAATTATAACATGAACAGTGTTAAATAATTATAAAATAAACAATGTAGTGACATAAGGGGTAAGGTGGGAGGGGGGATTGCTGGGAAGAGGAAACCATGGCTCGCTAAGAGAAGGAAGGGGGTACCCGGCCAAACATTGCAAGCTCCCAGGCGGCTTGGGGCATCGGATACCAGCTTAGTAAGTCCGAGAACCTCTCTAGGGAACCAAGGCCTGATGGACGCAGGAGAGTAAGTTTGTAGCGAAGGGAGCAGGTGAATGAATAATGGTACAAAGTTAGCAGGTGCTCCGACTAAGAATGACCATAAACTTACAATAAATAACGCATCTAGCGATTTCACGACACCTCTGCGCCATCGGATCGGTTTCTTACCTGAAACTGCGCGAAACACTGACTGCAAGCCGAGGGCCTGAAATACACGGTGGGGGATCTACGTCCATCATCAACTCAGACCTGGAGCAACTTCATGCTTGAGATAGCGAGAGAGCTGAATCTGAAACGTACGTCTCAAATCTCAAATCTTAGCGCTGAAGTCGCCGACGAAGACCTTGAAGAATGTATGATCTTGCCTGCGTGTGTAACTCAACCAATTCCATCTCCTATCCTTCTATTTTATGAACCGCTAAAAAGCTTGGTAACTTTTTGTTTCCCTCATCATTATGACTCTTCAAAGATGGCTTGCTTCAGTTAATTTCAGTTCAACCATTGAGTATTATGTAATTCCAAAAAAATTCATGTGCAAAGGAAGCAGTTTCGCCATTAGAGGCCCTTTTTGAAACCCCGCAGTCCGAATACGAAATTCAAATTGTTTTTTCTTAGTAGTTTAGTCTTCACAAGAGCAATATTATCGAATTGTTCTAGCGTCGCGTCGAGTAAGCAAGATAGGAATGACCGTCCACTAA